CCACCCTGGCAGGTTGGCGGGAGGTCAGTTCCCAGGGTTAAGAGCGCTGCCTCCTGTCCTCATGTCTCTCTCATGGGCAGGCCTGTCTTCTGATTCAGGACGAGCAGAACGAACCACCGGAAGGAGCCACCAGGGTCTGCACCCTGCATTATACTCCAGCAAGTGCTAAGAATCTGGCTGAGTTCTGACTAATTGGGAAACCCACCACCTTTAGCTTGCACGCACGCACGCGCACGCACGCACTTCTGCCTAGGACCTACGTTTTTGAATGAAGCTGAGCATTGAACCAGAGTCTCCTACATCTTTTGGAAAAGCAAAGCCGGTAAGGCAGCCCTTAGTGAACAGCATCTACTTAGGCAGCATAAAGCTCCCTTGGAGCAAAGAGTAAGAACAAACTCGAATGACCTATTCCAGGGGTCATAAAGGCACAGGGACGCACCACCAGAAGCCACCTGGGCCAGCATGCCTGCATGCCCGGCTGGTCACTGTTACCTGTGGAGCTTTTTTCAGACAATGAAGTTTGTCCTGTCTTCCTCACCCCATGACCTCATTCCACAAAAGTTGAGAGCTAAGTCAAAGTTTCTGACAAGTTCTAGAAAAACCTTAACATCCTCCTCTGTCTACTTCCTACCCCCACCCCCATTTCAGTCTACTTCTTTTTCATCAAATCAGAGACGTCTCCAGTTTCCAGACACTTGGCAGAGTTGAGAGTTGTGGCGGCTGTGCCTACACATCTTCCAGATGTTGAAACCTGTTAGACCGGGACCACGCCTCCCACAGGGTTTTTCCGGGCCAATGATGGGGTGTGGCAGGGTTATGGAGGTGACTGAAGACTGGAGCTGCTCAGGTGTGGGTCCTATGCCTTCTCACTCAGCCTCTGCCTGCTCCCAGGCTCCTCTCTGAATTTCTTGCAGGTATGTGTCACGTCTGCTTCCGGGTCTGATAAACACTCTATTCGCTCATGTTTCTTAAAGGCAAGAGAGCAAATAAATGCTCAACTTGCTTCCCATATTTAAACTACATGTAGGAAATATTCGATGTGTACCTTTTCTCCTTTCTCTTTCTTTCTTTCTTTCTTTCTTTTTTTTAAGATTTATTTATTTATTATGTATACAACATTCCTTCCATGTATGCTTGCTTGCCAGAAGAGGGCACCAGATCTCATTATAGATGGCTGTGAGCCACCATGTGTTTGCTGGGAATTGAACTCAGGACCTCTGGAAGAACAGTCAGGGCTCTTAACCTCTGAGCCACCTCTCCAGACCTCTCCTTTCTCTTTTTACAACTTATTTTGGCATCATGTAACCAATGATAATTACCTGATCTTCCTGCCTCAACTTCTGAAGTTCTGGGGTTACTGTGCATGAGCTAACACGCCAGGTTTATGCTGTCCTGGAGATTTAACTGTGGGCTCTGAGCAGGCTAGGCAATCACTACCAACCGAACTACATCTCTAATCTTGTTATAAGAATGTCTTAAGAAATCATAATCCTTAGTGGAGTGTGGTGTCAGACGCTTTTAATCCTGGACAGACAGAGGTAGGAGGATCTCTGTGAGTTCAGATGTCTACACAGTGAGTTCCAGGTCATCCAGAGCTACATCGGGAGACTCTGTCTCAAAACAAAACAAAACTAGGCGTGGTGTAAGCATTCAATCCTAGCACTCTGGAGGCAGGGGTAGGAAAATCTCTGTGAGTTCAAGGCCAGCCTGGGTATATATAATAAGACCCTGTCAAACAAAAACACACATCCAAACAGAAGTATGCTCGCCCTCTCCAAGTGGCTCACATCTGTAATCCCAGCATGATGGGAGGCTCAGCAGTTAGGAGCCTGCACTGCTCTCGCAGGGACCTGAGATTGGTTCCTAGCACCCACATCAGGTGTCACACAGTGGTGTGGGAGAATTATCTGTATTCTGTCAATCATATTTTAATAAAACGCTGGTTGGCCAGGCAGGCAGTATAGGCAGGAAAGCCAGACAGGAAGTAGAGGTGGAGCAAAGAGACTGGGAGTATTCTAGGAAGCTCCCTCTGCCAGTTCTGCCCAGACCACCTGAGAGGAAAGATGTAAGCTGCTCAGCTGAGAAAGGTACTGAGCCATGTGGCTAACGTAGATAAGGATAATGGGGTAACATAAGTTATAAGAACTAATAAGTAGCCTGACCTAATGGGCCAATCAGTTTATAATCTTATAGAGTCCCGTCTGTGATTTTCTTTGGGGTTTGCCGGTTGTGGGGTACCGGGCGGGACAGAAACCCCAACAAGCCGGACCCCTCACTACAACACAGCTTACTGTAATTCTGCCTCCCGGGAAACTGACGCCCTGTTCTGGCCTGTGGGCACCTGCATTCATGCGCACACATCCACACACATCCATATGATTGAAAAGAGAAGATACCCTTAAGGAAACCTTGGAAATGTCCTTCTTCCTCCTTTGGAGTACTGACTCTCCTTCCTCCCTTGAAGCACTGACTCTTCTCCCTTGGAGCACTGACTCTCCTT